TATCTTCTCTCTGTCGCCTGGATATATGAAAGGAACTGCAACGGGCGTTTACTGACAGCCGCTCTAAACATTCACTGCATTATTTATTTATTTTAATGGGCCAGGAATAGGATGAACTCAGAAGGGGTTTCCTGAGTACTGCCGTCTATTATATTGTCATTATGTAAGGGAATGTGGGACAAGCTATGAAAGATGCATAGCTTTTACAACAGCATTGGACTCTGAATGAGGAAGCCAACTACGGTAGAACATTTACAATCCCTGATCGGACCATTTGGAAATGATATTCCTCCTCCTCCTCCTCCTCCTCCTCCTCCTCCTCCTCCTCCTCCTCCTCCTCTTCTTCCACTTCCTCCCCCTCCTCCTCCCCCTCCTCCTCTTCTTTTTCTTCTTCCTATTCTCTTCCTCCATCACTTTCTCCTCCACCACCACCTCCTCCTCTTCTTCTTCCTCCTCCACCTCCTCCTCCTCTTCTTCTTCCTCTTCTCTTCCTCCACCTCCTCCTCCATCTCCTCCTCCTCCACTACCACCACCTCCACCTCGTCTTCTTCTTCTTCCTATTCCTTCTCCTCCTCCTCTTCTTCCTCCTTCTTCCTCCTCCTCCACCATCACCCCCTCCTCCTCCCCCTCAACTTAGGTTTTTTTCCAGCTTCCTCCTCCACCTCCTCTTCTTCTTCCTCCTCCTCCTTCCTCCTCCTTCTCCTCCACCTCCTCCTCCACCACCCCTCCTCCTCCTCCCCCTCAACTTAGATTTTTTTCCAGCTTCCTCCTCCACCTCCTCTTCTTCTTCCTATTCCTCCTCCTCCTCCTCTTCTTCTTCCTCCTCCTTCCTCCTCCTTCTCCTCCACCTCCTCCTCACCTCCTCCTCCACCACCTCCACCGCCTCCTCCACCACCACCTCCTCCTCCACCACCTCCTCCTCCTCCGCCTCAACTTAGATTTTTTTTCCCCAGCTTCCTCCTGCACCTGTTTCATTCTCAGTTCTTTTACGTATCTTGTCTATTTTTTTTTCTTGCATATTTTTCAGATCAATGGAATGTCTGAGAAATGCTAAAGAAGGGACGGAAGCACCTTTGGTTCCTTGAGTAGTTTCTTCCCGAAGACAAAAATAAAACTTCAGGCGACATCAGGACAAAAACAATCTTCTAATTCTGGATTCCCCTAAACAAAGCCAGCAGGTTGGGAAGCAATAAGATCCTAACTCTATCCCAACTCTGATTCCAGGAAACAAGCCAGACAGACCCAGAGGTGGGATTCAGCCAGTTCAGACCGGTTCAGGTGAACCGAATGTTAATTTTAAACTGGTCTGCCGAACCGGTTGTTCCAAGGACTGTCTGACCCCGCCCACCCCACCCGCCCCTCCCTGGAGTCTCTATGCAGCCTGTTTTGGATGCCAGGTAAGTGTAGGGCCCATACAGAGGCTCTGGTAGGACGAAAAATGGGCCTACCGGAAGTGAGGAAACAGGCCCATTTCCAGCCTCCAGAGGGCCTCCGGAGCCCGGGGGAGGCCATTTTTGGAGGCTCCAGAAAGTCTCCGGAGCCTGGGGAGGGCGAAAACGCCCGCCCCACACTGTGGTGCAGGAGGCCGAGTAGGCCACACCCACAAGGCCACACCCACCCAGCAACCAGGCAGCGAATCGATTGCTGAAGTTTTTCAATCCCATCCCTGGACAGACCAGAGGATAGAGATAAAAATTAAATGAGTCCTTCACCTCATTTTAGATGCACAAGAAGTTGCCTTCAACAGCAGACCTTTTACTACAATCCAACTTGCATAGTGAACAAAGTATCCTTTCCTTAAATTATTTACCGATTTATATACTCTATGGAAATTAAACATGCTTTATCTCGCCCCGCAAAGAGAAGCTCAAACATGCATATTTATGCTCTCATTAAAATTTAAATGAGAATCTATTAAAATGGGAACCTGCTTATCAACAACATGTGTCTGGGATTCTCAAGTAGCCATATTTTCACAAGTACTGGGCTTGGCTTCCTAAATCTGGGATTATTGTCATCTAGCATACCCTACTGTGGAGTCCTTGGTGCTCTCTGAGCTTGGTTGTTTTGCTTTAGATATTTATTTAACCCAACTATGTCACAACATCAGAAAGCACCAAGAACACCACAATTCAACCCTCAAGGCTTAGCTAATGTCTTCTTGAGATCTTCCTGGTCCCTTCAATCAAACGCTGGAACTTATTTGATATTTGAAACTGGTTTTAAGATTATGATGAGTTGTGACTGGTTTATCATGGCTTATCGTAAGCAGCCAACTATAATGGACCTGTCTATGGAGATTCTCAGTCATGGATGTCCCAAAGGTGCCTTTCTTTGAAGACGTTTCACTTCTCAGCTCTGAGCTGAAGAAGCTTCTTGGATAAGAAGCGAAATGTCTTCAAAGAAAAACCAGAAAGTCCAGTTGCTTCTTGAAAAAGTACCTTTGGGACTATAATGGATATGGTTCAGATCTTCCTTTCCTTTCCTTTCCTTTCCTTTCCTTTCCTTTCCTTTCCTTT